AATGTCCTGAGCCAGAATCGTCCAAGAAGCTTGACTGGCAGTGTCATACTCCGTCACTGGCAATTTTCGGACCGCCTGGTGAGAGTCTTAAAACATGCACATAACATAGAACATAGGTTCTTGGAGCGTTTGGAAGCTGAAGCACATGTGCCACCAATACGAAGCTCCCCCTGAAGGGTGTAGGCAGGGAAGTTGTATGACATTGTAGGAAGCTGGCCTTGCTTGATGCGCATCGGCTATGACATGTCTGGCGCGAAGAATTGCGTGCGCCCTGCAACCGCGTGCTGCGTTTCTATGGCCAACTTGATGAGAGGTGAACACTCTTGAGTTTTTTTCGCTTTGTGCTGTAGCTTGTTGCGGCTGCTGCTGCGACGCTGTGGCTGCGGCGGGGGCTGTGGCTGCGGCTGTGGCGCGAGAGCGAGAGAGACAGAGAGGGAGAGTAAGAGCGCGCGCATTGCGCACTGAACTTTTGCAGCAGGTGCCCGTGAGCGAGCGCAGCAAAGACTCGGCGCCTGGAGCTGTGCAAGTTTGGACGGGGGCGGTGTGGTGGGCTTTTTTTGTGCGCTGTCAGCTTGTTTCGTTGTTTGTTTTTTGCTGTCCCTCCGTCTGTCCGTCTGTCCGCCTGCTTGTCCGTTTGCCTGCCTGCTTGCTTGCTTGCCTGCCTGTCCTTCTGCTTGCCTGCTTGCCTGCCTGCCTGCCTGCTTGCCTCTGTCTGTCTGTCGGTCTTTTTGCCTGTCTGTCTGTCTTCCTGTTTGTTTGTTTTGCCTGCCTGCCTGCCTGCCTGCCTGCCTGTGTGCCTTGCGGGCCTGCCTGCTGCCTGCCTGCCTGCCTGCCTGCCAAGCTGTCTGCCTGTCTGCCTGTCTCTGTCTCTCTGTCTCTCTGTCTCTCTGTCTCTCTGTCTCTCTGTCTCTCTGTGTCTCTGTGTCTCTGTGTCTGTGTCTCTGTGTCTCTGTGTCTCTGTGTCTCTCTGTGTCTCTGTGTCTCTGTGTCTCTGTGTCTCTGTGTCTCTGTGTCTCTGTGTCTCTGTGTCTCTGTGTCTCTGTCTCGGTGTCTCGGTGTCTCGGTGTCTCGGTGTCTCGGTGTCTCTGTGTCTCTGTGTCTCTGTGTCTCTGTGTCTCTGTGTCTCTGTGTCTCTGTGTCTGTGTCTCTGTGTCTCTGTGTCTCTGTGTCTCTGTGTCTCTGTGTCTCTGTGTCTCTGTGTCTCTGTGTCTCTGTGTCTCTGTGTCTCTGTGTCTGTCTCTGTGTCTCTGTGTCTCTGTGTCTCTGTGTCTCTGTGTCTCTGTGTCTCTGTGTCTCTGTGTCTGTGTCTGTGTCCCTGTGTCCCTGTGTCCCTGTGTCCCTGTGTCCCTGTGTCCCTGTGTCCCTGTGTCTCTGTGTCTCTGTGTCTCTGTGTCTCTGTGTCTCTGTGTCTCTGTGTCTCTGTGTCTCTGTGTCTCTGTGTCTCTGTGTCTCTGTGTCTCTGTGTCTCTGTGTCTCTGTGTCTCTGTGTCTCTGGTTGGTTGGTTGGTTGGTTGGTTGGTTGGTTGGTTGGTTGGTTGGTTGGTTGGTTGGTTGGTTGGTTGGTTGGTTGGTGGTTGGTGTTTGGTTGGTGTTTGGTTGGTGTTTGGTTGGTGTTTGGTTGGCGTTTGGTTGGCGTTTGGTTGGGGTTTGGTTGGTGTTTGGTTGGGGTTTGGTTGGTGTTTGGTTGGTGTTTGGTTGGTGTTTGGTTGGTGCTTGGTTGGTGTTTGGCTGGTGTTTGGCTGATGTTTGGCTGGTGTTTGGCTGGTGTTTGGCTGGTGTTTGGCTGGTGTTTGGCTGGTTTTTGGCTGCTGTTTGGCTGGTGTTTGGCTGGTGTTTGGCTGGTTGGCTGGTTGGCTGGCTGGCTGGTTGGTTGGTTGGTTGGTTGGTCGGCCGGTTGGTTGGTTGGTTGGTTGGTTGGTTTCTGGTTGGTTGGTTGGTTTCTGGTTGGCTGGTTGGTTGGTTGGCTGGCTGGCTGGCTGGCTGGCTGGTCGGTTGGTTGGTTGATTGATTGATTGAGTGGTTGGTTGGTTGATTGACTGGTTGATTGGTTGGTTGGTTGATTGGTTGGTTGGTTGGTTGGTTGGTTGGTTGATTGATGAATTGGGTGGCTGGCTGGCTGGCTGGTTGGTTGGTTGGTTGGTTGATTGATTGATTGATTGAGTGATTCATTGGTTGGTTGACTGGTTAGTTGGTTGGTTGCTTGCTTGATTGGTTGGTTGGTTGGTTGATTGATTGGCCGGTTGGTTGGGTCGATTCGGTTCGATTAATTTGTATCGTTTTTTTTCTTATTTTGTTTATTCTTGTTTTGTTTTGATTCGGTTTGATTGATTTTCTTGGTTTGACCCTGTCTTGTCTGGACTGATTGGGTTGATTGTTTTGATTAGTTTGTTTTTGACTGACATGATTTGATGTAGTGATTTGGTTGGGTTTGATTGAACTCATTGGGCTTGATGGTTGGGTTGGGTCGGGTTGGATTGGGTTGGATTTGGTTGAGGTTGGGCTGGGTGGGGTTGGGTCGGATTGGACCGATTTGTTGACTGGTTGGTTGGTTGGCTGACGGGGTTGGATTGTGTCGGGATTGGATTGGATGGTTGGTTTGCTGGTTGATTGGTTGGTGGGTTCGGTTGGGTTGGGTTGGGCTGGGCTGGGCTGGGCTGGGCTGGGTTGATTGATAGCTTGAGTGAGTGAGTGAGCGAGCGAGCCAGCCAGCCAGCCAGCCAGGCAGGCAGTCAGTCAGCCAGTCAGTCAGCCAGTCAGTCTGTCAGTCAGTTAGTGTTTGGTTTGTTTATTTGTGTGCCTGCTTGTGTGAGGTTGCGGGCGTGCAAGTCACTAAGTTTGAGTGCTCAGTTAGTGTTTGGTTTGTCTATTTGTGTGCCTGCTTGTGTGAGGTTGCGGGCCTGCAAGTCACTAAGTTTGAGTGCTCCTGTGTGCATGTGCAAAGGTTTTACCTATGTAGCAGACGCAGCGTGTTTGGATTGCATGCCAGGGGCAACACAAATGATCGCTTACGGCACTGAAAGGAGCATTTCAGGGGGGTCGAGGTCCCTCCCCCCGTTCCCCGAGGTGGCCGTCAACCTGGGCATCGGCGCCAAGGATGATTACACCATGGAGGAGGAGCTTGGCGTGGGCGGGTTCGGCAGTGTCTACAAGGCCACCAGCGCTTTGGACTGCAGCTGGCTTCGCCGTGTAGGCGTCCACAAATCCGAGGGCAAAGGCAGCACTGTTTTGTTCATGCAGGTGTTTGCGGGCACAGCACAAACACGCTGTCGTTCAGCGACCTTCAATGCAACACTGCCGGTGTTATGTGTTCATACATTGTTCCATTGACTCCTGCTCTTGCGTCTCGGCGCAGTTTGTGCCCTGTCAGGTAAGCAGGTAAGCCACATAACCACGAGCCGGGAACATGCCTCAACCAACTCCCGAGCGTTGCGCCAGCCACATGAGCTGCTGACAGTATGAATGACCATGCAGCTTGTGTCAATTTGAGGAGGGCGTGTGGTACACGGCCATTTCCCGAATTCACTTAAATTCATTTCAGAGTGCAGCTGCGCTCAGCTCTGCATCGAGCAGCGCGTGGCAAAAAAAAAGCCCAACAGTATCCGAGGGGGGATCACATGCTTGCTTTGGATATTTGAGGCAAGAAGGACTCCAAGACCGTTGCGGTCAAGATCATCCCCCGTGGGCGTTTACACTCCGAGGAGACCTTCCAGGATGAGCTGTTTCTTGTCGCGGGGGGGCAATGAGTTCGGGCATTTGGGCGGTGGGATGGGCTTCTGGTAAAAGTGGATGTGAATGCTCAAGGGGGTCAACCCTGGCCTTTCGCAGGCAGAATGTTAGGATGTTTCGCGCGAGATGGCGTTGGGCACGCTGGCCGCTGAGGCGGGTGGCTCGCAGGTTGACCCACCCGAACATCGTGAAGCTCTACGCGTCCTATGAGGCGCATAGCCTGGCAGCCTTTTTTTTGGCGCACAAGTTTTCCTGACAAAAGCCGGAACGTGGCAAAGCAAGGAGCTTCGCCACTCAAAGAGGGGCGAGGGCGCCGAGGGCGCCCCAGTCCTGGGGTGCCATGCCCATGTCCACTTGCCACAGGATGATGAGAACTATTACCTGGTCATGGAGTTCTGCAAAGGCAGGGGCTTCAACATCGACGGCCTCAATCCCAGTTTTGCGTTGTTGTGCTACCAGGGAAAGTCTGGGATTTTGCCATGCGTGTTTTTGCATTTCTTGCATGTGATGGTTTGGCTTTAATTTTGTGATTCATGATTGTATTTGGTTTTGACAATGTAACAAGGTGTGTTGTTGTTCCTGGTCAGCTGCTAGGTTTGCCAGAATTATGCAACAATAATGTGCTTTGGGATGATATCGCGTCAGGGTTCTGAGCTGCGGCTGCACACGATCTATATATATCCACGCAACCGTCGAATCTGATTCTTCCCGCGAGCCAAGTGGAAGCTGTTCCTGTCAACGGGTGCCCCCCAAACTGAGGTTTGCGGCCTGGCAGTTGTCCATTTGAAGCCCTTGGATAGCGTTTTGATCTTTGACGGAGCAGGAATGGTTTGATGGTTGGTTCACTGGCAGGTTTCCCAATTGAGAACAACATGACGTGGGTGTTTTCCCAACATTGTTGTTGATGGCGTGGGTGCATGTTTTCAAGATTGACGGCAGGGTGCTAGGGCGTGGAGTTTGGGTGCTGGTGCAGGTGCTGTATTGGGGTGGTGCTGTTTGGGGGGCTGAAGAATGACGGTGCGGGCGCGCTTCTGCGGTGATTTGGGAATTCTTGGGCTGTTTTGGGATGCCGTTTGGGGTGTTGGTTGAGGTGCTCTCCGGGCGGTGCTGTCAGAGGTGCTGGCGTGCAATCGTTGGCACGTGTTTCGCTCTCTGGGGCCTGTGCTGGCGCAACTTTTTCCCCCAGATAGCTGAAAGCTATAGGGGTTCTAAAGTGATTTGCGAGATTGAGGGCCGGGTGCTACGGGGCATTCAGTTTGGGGTGCTGGTGGAGGTGCTGTTTTGCGAGAGTGATGGCCGGGTGCTAGGGGGCATGCAGTTTCGGGTGTTGGTGGAGGTGCTGTTTTGCGAGAGTGATGGCCGGGCGCTAGGGGGCATGCAGTTTCGGGTGTTGGTGGAGGTGCTGTTTTGCGAGAGTGATGGCCGGGTGCTAGGGGGCATGCAGTTTGGGCTGGTGGTGCAACTGCTGTTTTGGGTTGCTGTTTGAGGTGTGCTGACCGCACGGGCGCTTATTTCCAAGATAGCTGAAAACTATAGGGGTTCTAACTTCTAATGAAGAAGTTTTTTTTGCAAGATCGACTGTTGGGAGCTAGGGGGCATGCGTGTTGGTGACGGTGCGGGCGCATATGGACGGTGATGCTGTTGAACCGGTTGGACGTTGCGTTCTAACTGTCCTTTGTAATGGTGCGTGGTTCGTGGCTGGTGTGTCATCATGATGTTGCCCGCGTCATGATGCTTCTGTCACTGCGATGCTGCGATGCCGCGTTATGGTTCGTGGGTGTGGTGGCACCACGATTGCTGAATTTCATTACGCTGTCGCGAGAAGATTCGTGGCTGTGGTATCATCGTGATGCTGCCTTTACCATCACCATGATGCTGTTCGCATCACCGTGATGCTGTCCGCATCATGGTGATGCTGTCCGCATGATCGTGACGCTGTCCGCATCATCATGGTGCTGTCGAACTCATCAGGACGTCGTCTCTGCCTTTTTTCAGCTAGATATGTGGCGCGGAATCGTTCGTTGCTGGTGCATCTGCATGATGCTGTGAACATCATGATTATGCTGCTGAACTTGTTAGGACGCTGTCTGCTTGTGCGTGTCTATTCAGTGCACCATGCCGAAGGGCTGTGGTATCATCATGATGCTGCCTTTACTTTACCATCCGTTATGCTGTTCGCATCACCGTGATGCTGTCCGCATCATGGTGCTTCTGTCCGCATGATCGTGACGATGTAAGCATTATCATGGTGCTGTCGAACTCATCAGGACGTCGTCTCTGCCTTTTTTCTGCTAGATATGTGGCGCGGAATCGTTCGTTGCTGGTGCATCTGCGTGATGCTGTCAACATCATGTTTATGCCGCTGAACTCATGAAAACGCATACGCGTCCATTTAGTGCACCATGCTGAGTGGCTGTGGTATCATCATGATGCTCTCAACATCATGATGATGCTGTCGACATCATCATCATCATCATGCCGCGGGAACCATTATGATGCTGCATGATGGTTCGTAGCCGTGGTGTGCTATCTGGGGTCTACGCTGGTGTAATTTGACTTTTGGCCCCTGGTGCCATGACCAAATGGGAACTGCAGGTGAACCAACCCCTTGCGGGGAGTGAGCCTGTGGGAATCAAGCGCAGAATCAGCAAGAAACAACCCCCCCCCACCCGGGTGCTGCGAAATTAGAGGGAACAACAAGGCCTTTGCTTGCTCCAAGAAGGTGGGGAATAGAAGGAACTGAGCCTTGCATGGGAGTAGAGCAGCAGGAGCAAGGGTGGCTCAATTGGATCTGCCGCTGGAGGAATTCCACTGCAAATGAGCCACTCGCTCGCCCTTCTGTGTACGGGTTATCTCGGCCCATCAGCTGTGCCCTTTGCTGATAGGGACCTGGCGTTGGCCTTGCAGTGTAGTGTGCTTCAGGACGCCCAGCTGGGGAGTGAGGGTAAGTCGGCCCGTGCGAACGCAAGCCGCTCGTCAGGTGGCACATTGGCTAAGTACGTCAGCGGCAAGACTGTTTCCAAAGATGAGCGGCTCGAATAGGTTTCGATTGGTTGCTAGCATTTTTTCCAAGCACCAGGCCACTCGCCAGGGCGGGGCGGGAACACACTGTGACGGTCAGCCCCTAAAACTTTCAATGCCGTGATGCGCTTTACTCTGTGATGAGGAAGCCAGGTGTCAAGTTGTGGACTTAGGTTACGGCAGCGAGGCAAGGTAGCAGGTAACATACTTGAGTCATGGGGCCAGTGAATTGAACAACTCTCTGATGTGTCGATTCCTGCGCGCTTACTGTGGTCCAACACATTTGGCTTCGGAAGATGACTTTTCTTTTTCGGGCACCTGTGTTGTTTTGCCCTTTTTCCTTGAAATCGCTGTTCGCCCGGAGCAAGGAACCGCCTAGGACTCCGGGCTGTTCGAGGGTTTTTGGCCGTTAATCGGCTCTTCTTGTTTGGTTCCTCCCCTGGCTTTCTTTCGCCTCCTTTGGCCTCAAGTTTTGTGTCTTGGGGCTTGAGCTCCACGCTGCGCATGGCGCTTGCGACCGAGTCTTGGCATCTGGTCTGTGGGCCTGGACGCCGAGCTCATTGCGAAGTACGCCTGGCAGATGCTCTCCGGCATCGCGTACCTGCACTGCATGTCGGTGGTGCACCGCCCCATGGCCTGGGTGACAGGTGGCAGATGGGACAATTCCCCCCTCCCCCCCCCCATTTCATAGGGCGTAAGCGGAAGGAAACTGGGGCCCAAGGAGAGCAACAGCGAGGACCAAAAGGGACCCCATTTTTGCGGTTCGGACGCAGCTGCTGTGAGCCCGGCGAGTCTCCCATCTCATGTTGTTTGCTCAGTTGCTTGATGTTGCATTATCCACCCCGCGCACATCCCAGCAACGTCGTGCGTTGTCTCCTTTCAGCTGCGCGCAGTGCAGTTTTTGTTAAGCGTCTCACAGACGTTGGTAGGTAAACAGTCCAAGGCGTCGGATGCTGATGCTGCAGCGCGAATCAGGTTTTAGGCAAGACAGCCGGCCAGGCCTTAAGATTTTGAGCGCCTGAGATGTTACTCAAGCCGTTTCTTTTGCCAGGGCCCACGCCCTGAACCGTTGCACAACCGGCGACGTCAGTAGAGTTGTTGCCTGCAAGGGGCTCGGCTGAGGCGATATTAAGCTGGAGAACTATATGCGCGTGAAGGAGTCCGACGGGGCAAACCTGAAGCTTATCGACATGGGCCTGGCGACCAGGCCCTTTGGCCAGCTAGCAATTTGGTTCGCAAAACCCAATATGATTCCCAAAGCCCATGCAGAGCTTCACTGTTGCAGAAGTGCTCCTTGAGCCAATTGCACAACCTTGATTCTCAAGTGCCTGCCTCACCGTTTTTATATAGGGCCTCAATAAAGACAATATTAATTATAAGGACTCCATCTTTGCGGAGTTATGTCCCCTTCCATCTAAGCCGCCTCAGTATTGGACGTTCACCCAGGATCAAGAAGAACCGGCGGTTGCATGAGCGTGTGGGCACTGCGCCCTTGCTGCAAGAGGTGCCCACTGCTTCTCAATCGCAAATCACCTAAATAAACAACACAATGGACAAATAACACCAATAACGGAAGAAAATAAAGTAACAATGCCAAAAGCTTGGATGCTCCTGCATGTTCTTCGCATGGCCCTCGAGCCGAAACTGCCCAAGAGTAGGATGCCAGAGGCAGAGCCAGAGCCCCGAATGCACTCCGACGGCTCAGTTGATGTTCATGGCGCCCGAAGTGCGCAAGAAAGACTACGACGAGAAAGTCGCCTCATGGCGGAAGGTCAGAAAGGTGGGAAATCAAGCAGTGGCGAATGCTTCAAGTGTTGTGATCCGGAAAGACAGGCGGTGATCCTTTTGCCTACCGTAAGGACATTTGGGGCATTGGCATGGTCTTGTACATGTGCGCGGTTTGCATGGACCCTTGGTTCACTGGCAATGACCACAGAGCGATGAACGAGGACTGGCAAGGGTTTGCGGCGTTTCTCCATGGACCAGTCAGGCCCCAGGTCTCACTTTGGATCAAGACTTTGCGTGAGAAAGGCGAGGCGGACATGGAGAAAGTTCACACTGAAACTTCCTGATAGCCTGATGCAATCGCCGAGCTCGGTTTTGAAGGTTTCCTTTGACAACGTTGAGCGGGCTTTGTGCAAAGTCTAACATCCCCAAGCATACTTTCCCCGAAGCCTTCGGCTTTCTAGGGAGGGAGACTTGTTGCGAGCCAAACGTGTCTGCCCTGCAGAAGATAACCGCAGCGAGTTGCTGAATGTGAATCCGCGGGATGGCCGAATCGGCAGTTTTTCTGCATCTTTCAGGCTTCGTTTTTTCTGCGCGCAGGAGGAGATCTTGGACTCGCTGGAGGATCCGAAGCTCCAGATAAAGCACCATGGCCATGGTGGGGTGACGGGAGGGGTTGGGGAGGCTGTGCGAGTCAGCTTGCGAGGAAATAGGACAACCCCGCAACACAATTCCAGCGCCGATAGGCGAAGCAAGCACGGAAATCAAGAGCAGGAGTCGAGAAGAGTGCAAAGGAGAGGAGATTTAACGGATTTTGAGCCTACAACTTGGTGTCAGGTATTACGACTGGCGCTGGCAACTGAAGGAGCATGAGGTGCGGGCTCTAGTTGAGCACCTTGGCAGCAGGTGTTGGGAGTCCCGCCTGCAACCGCATTTTCCTGGTGGTCCCTGATGTTTTGGACCTTGAAGCCTACAGATACGGGGCCGAGATGAAAGGTGAATGTTCTCAACTTGCAAAACCAGATGCAAGTACTTCTAGATAGGCGGGTGCGAAGAACATGTTGTCTGCAAACGTCTCGCCATTGGAATGGGTTTGTGGGACATATTCACGGAGAGGAGGTCGTCATGAGGGTAGCGTAGTTGACGCCCTCCGTCTCAGGTGCCTTCTGGTCGTGGATCCTCAAACGCGGCCTGGAGCACGAGAGGTGCTTCAAAAAAACGCCTGGCTCAAGACGGTTGGCAGAGACGGTGCCTTGGTGCATTTTCCTTGAGCATTAGGCGAGCGGGGCGGGGTCGTGCCCCAAGCGACTGTTGAGACGAGGCGACGCTTGCTGCTGCGCCTTGGCAACATTGGAGCGTGGCACGCTAGAAAAGAAGCAAGGTAGTGGGCAGAGAATCAGTCAAGCATGTTGCTGAACATTTTTGACCCTAGTTGTGGCGCCCCAAACCTCGCTCACTCCCCAGTTTTCGTTGCATTTCTGAACCTGGAAACTGGGGTTGCTTTTTGGTTGCACTGGGTCAGTGCCCTTGCCAACAGTGCGGCGTCTCGGGATGGCCTTGTTCCACTGCTGCCTGGTCCTCCTTGCCACTTTGTCTGCATCCCCGGCATCCCAGATTGGTGCCGCTCCACGCCATGCTCTCGCTGACTTTGGTGGGGCACGAAAGCTTCAAGACCTATGCCTCACAAACTTGGCCTCCTGACTATTCTTGCAGCCCGAGCCTGCCTTTCCTACTATGCTCTCCTCGGTTTTTGCCGGGCTCGAAAACCTCAAAACTTGTGCTCCACAAGCTTGGCATACTGCCGACCGCTGAAAGAGGGAAAACGACTTCCTGCTCGCTGCATCCCCGGCATCCCGGCTTTCCCTGCCACCTGCGCGCCCACTCTCTCCCAGAAAATGCGACTGATTCAGTGCTGACCGCGGCTACCTTTCGCTCATCCTCCCCCCTCACAGTTCAAGTGGCCTCACCCAAAAGCCGAGGCACGGTGTCCTAGCCCGAGGACTGGGCTGCCAGGGTTGCAGTGCTGACGCTTGCGCGGCGAGCGGCCGTTGATCTTGAGAGTTTGTTCCCCGGCTGCCCATGGCAATTTCCATAGGGTGAAGGCAAGCAGACCAGCTACCATTCGATTGCACCAACCTTGAAAGGCTGACCCTGTGGTGATTTGTCAAAATTCGGTGTCCGTTGAAGGGCAGCTCAGAAGGAACTAGCGCAGCAACCGCAAACAGGCCAACCTTTCTGCTGTTACAACCGGCTGGGCAGGCAAGATTTTCTAAGCTTTCGGTGCTTGTGCTCAAGAAGTTGGCGAAGCCTCATGCAAAGCTTCTCGTTGAAGTTGAGGCGTTGTTTCAGGGCAACCCTGCTCGCAGGTTCGAATCCCTGCCCACCGGCAACAAAAGCACAGAGTTGAGCCTTGGCCTCAGCGTTTCCGAACTTCCGACAGATCCTTGCCCCCCAATTGACAATCAGGACGCGTCCAAATGGAGGTCCCCAAAAGCCATGCTTTTTTTTAAATACTCCAAAAAGGGGGCGTGCCGACAACAGACACGCTGCATTTTGCCCGCCCCCATCACTCAGGTACTACTTCCTGGCCGAGTCAGGTTGCTGACGGTTCAGGGCGACCCCTGATCTAGCTGACCACCTCCATCATTGATTGAGCTGAACATTTGTTTCCTTGTCACCACATTTTGCACTCCAGGCTTCTTGTGCTGCCGACAGAACATGCACATCAGCCAAAAGACGGGTTATGGTACTTGAGGCCCCATCAGGTTGCCAAAACGATCGCATTGCCAGCCAATGTGCAGCAATGTTTTGTCGGATGCGAAATTCACATTTTGAACGAAGAAGGAAGGCATTGAGTTCCAAAGCCTATGATTGGTCAACGCCTGCCTGCTTTATTTGAAGCAACCTGGACATAGTCCTTGTGCCAGAAGCATCTCAAATCGCAACTTTTGGACCAACCTTGAAAACCAACCTTGAAAACCAACCTTGAATTGTGAAGCGTAACCCTGCAGAACGAAGGCATAGGGAGGCGTGTGCTGCCTTCTCGTCTGTTAATGCTCACCTAAAATGCTGGCGAACGTGGTCAATGGGCATGGCTGACTGCACGCTCGCTGCATACAAGACTGGTTCTTTTTGCCTGCCCGTTGGCATGGTTGATGTCCTCAATGTTGCAAGTGAGCCATCCAGGGAACGTTGCACAAGCCAAACAGAAACACTAGCAGAGACTCACGCAAAGATATATAGACACAGAGGCAAACACAAACACTTGCAAGAACATTTGGGACTTCAAGCGTGTTGCGATGCCACGTTTGGCGCTGTGGATCCGAATCCTACGTCCCTTCCAGCACTGAGAGGTTTAAACACAGGTGGCTAGCAGGTGGCAGGGTTGAAAGAGGACGACTGGATCGTGCCCGAGGCGTTTGTAGCAAAACTGGCTTACGGATATTAGTTTAGATGGAGTCGGCCAGCTTCCGACAAAGTCTCAAGCAGAGCACCGGCAAACGTCATCGCTCGCTTGGCGCTCGGGGTGCCAAAAGGGGTACCAAGGTTTCCAGCTTGCAAGGCTGCCCCAAGGGTAAACGCCGTAGCAAGCTGCCAAGGGCTTTACGAGATCAGCCTTTACCAACTTCTCGTTTCAGGTCGGTGGGTGGCAGCTGCAATCCTATTCCCTAGGCATGCAGGTCTTGCACTTTTACGTTCCTGGTGGACCCTCTAGACGGAGTTCGAAGGATTTTTTTCACCAATTCATGGATATTCGGAAAGAACAGGTTGCTTGCCAAAGGTGAAGTGGCTCGTGTTGAGAAGGCCTGAGCCATGCTCGAAAAGGGCTCAACTCCGCCGGCGGCTCCCACTTGGTGCTCTCACGAAGCTGTGGGCGAGAAGTTGGATGCCAAGGTAAAGGCACGGGCACCCCAGTTTAGTGCATGGGGTCCAAGTCACTTTGGGGGACCTCCCCCAATCCACCAGGTTGAGTAATCCGCCCCCCGAGCTCATCTCACAATGATGTTTGTTCCTGCGGCTGTCAAGGGCTACCTTTGGTGCTGGAATGGAGTTTTCGATGTGGCGAGAATTTCCTGAGCCGAGCCATCCACTGAGCCGAGCCTGGATGGCACGGCTCCGTCTTCGCCGTACCAGACCGCGGGGGCTGGGCGAAGAAAGGCCGGATGGCGGAGGGAGATGGACAGGTGAAGTCCCAGAGCCACCCTGATGTTCGCTGCGTGAACACGGAACCTCTGATTCTCAGGGGGCTTCCTTTAAAAAGTGTGTTTTGTTCACGTGTTGTTTCGTCATGTGGCAAAACGGCCGAATGGCCGTTTGGCTCAAGTTTTGCCCTCCCGTCAGGGGGGTCACGGATTCTTTTTGCGCCAGCCATAGTGCGGCTGACTGCTTCGCCGTCGGGAAAAGGGTCCTGACGTCGCCGTGGTTAGGCACTGGGAGGTGGGCGGAGGATCTCTGCGTGATCGTCCTGGGCTTGGACACAAACTTCCCTTCTTCAACCTATTTCCCAACCTCCCCAAACTTGATCTTCATTAACTGTCACTCCCACAATCTGGTCACCGGCACCTTCTACATTGTGCATTGGGACTGGGTTCTTTTGGTACTTCGTGAACCACGTGTACCTCTTTGATTCCCTGGGCTACTTCGTGTTCGCCCAAAACCGCAGGTTATCAGCCGTACCAGCTAGAAGCTGGGGCTGGTGATCCGGTTGCGGGACGTGACCCGCTACCTGCTCCCATCGCCTACTTGCACGAGCAATGGCGTCCCCCGGAGCTTCTCATCGTGGGCCGGGCTTCGTGGACGACGAGGCCAACGCCCTTCGCGGCAACGCCGCGCCTGCTGCCCCCGGCTTAGACAGCCGGCTGTGGCCCATTCCCCCGATGCTGGGCGCAGAACCCAATCCCGGGGTGATCACGGACGATTGGATCCTTTCTCAGGTTGTGTTTGATGAGGATGCGGAGGCCCCTATCCCGGCGGCAGTGCTCCAGATCGAGGACGGACCCCCTCTAGAAGAGGCTGAGGTTCCTCCAAATCAAGTGCCCTCATCGATTTCGCCTACTGTTCCGTTCGTGGCGCTCCAGATCGAGGACCGGGCTGTCCATCATGCTGCTCATCCGGAGCCGGCTCAATCATGGTCCCTTACATGGGATCAGTTTGACCAACTCCTCGGCAGTGGATCGCAGGCTACACCGCCTGATTTCGGTCGGCTCGACTTTAACTCGGGTGCCCCCGTTTCGGTTGGGAATCTGGATTTTCAATCCCTTTTTGATGCTGATTGGAGGTCTCAGCCTTCCCGAATTGACAGATCTTTTGATGCCCTGCCTACGCATGAGCCTACTCAGGGTTTTCCTCATGATGGAGAAAATGACCCCATTGAAGATTTCTCCCCTTCTCATGTTGCAGGTTCGGCCCAACCCGAGGTGGGCAAACGGGCGATTGAGGATTGGCCGCAAATAGCTGGCCCTCCTCCCGTCTCAGGTTCATCCGACATTGACATCATTCACGATCACCCCAGTCCGGCGGATATGGACTTCATCTCTGATGCAGTATCATCTCACCTGTCAGGTACCCGTGACCGGAATGCGGACCGCTACAACGCTGGTCCGAATCCACCGCTTTCCTCAGGTACCCGAGGTCGGGATGCGAACCGCTACAACGCGGGCTCAAATCCGCCAAATCGGAAATCAGGTACTAGTCGATCGGATGCGGGCCGCGAAACAGCAGGCCCAAATCCTTCCTTCTCTTCGTCAAGAAGCCATGCCGGTCTCTTCGCGGCGTTCAAACGGCGTCAGACTCGAAAAGAGTCCGCCCCCGACGTCATCGACCTCGAGGAGCAGTCCAGCCACCGTACCAGCGATGGATCCGAGCAGGATACACCTGGTATTGGCTCTACTCCATTTGACCTCCTCGACATCCCCTTCCATCAGCCACCCAGGAGAGGAAATGAAGATGATGAAACCATTCCTGGGATCCTTGATGTAATCGATGAGGCCGAGGTCACACCAGAGAGACGAACTACATCGCTCCCGCCGAGCCGCGTTGCCAAAGTACTTTCCCCTAAGCCACTCAATGGTGACGTTGCTCAACGGCTTGATCTCACTCAACCTAATCCAGATCAAGCTCAACTTCGCGGATCATCATCATTTGATAATGTGTCGGGACAAACCGGCACTGACTCACGAGCCACAAAGAGGAGCTCTGAGTCACCCGAGAGACGTGAAGCTGCTCTACGACTGCGTTCTAATCCCCCAGCTCATCACGATCCTATTGACGTTCCTATACACTCTGCGGGGTCTGGGCTCAGCTCCAATGCCCCGATGTCTGAGAAGGAGACTGATGACGGGATTAACTCTACGCCTAGGAACCGGAGACCTGGACTTAGCACTGTTGCCCCTGGATATGGAGGGCTTCCTTCGAATCAACCGGTCAACGACTCCGTTGTCCCCGCATTCTTTCAAATCGGAACTCCGGGCTGCACTCCCGACAGGGAAGAGAATAGTCGCGGAGATCATGACGCTGATAGTCGTCCTGCTCCGTCTGCTTCCACAAGTGGCGGCCATCCTGTTGCATCTGAGCTTCAACGACTGCTTCTCGCGATCCACAACGAGGTCAAGGGGTGCAAGGCCGAAATCCAGGGATGCAGAGCTGAGATTCGTTCATGTAGGGATGATATCAACGCTTGCGTCGGTGAGATCAAGAAGATCAATAACCGTGTTGACGCCCTCGAGAAGAAGGTTGAATCATCTTTCTCTGCCGTTGCCGGAACTCTCTCAAAACACGAGGCTAAGTTGCGTGATTTCCACGAGTGGGTCGCCCGAAGCGAGAAGGAGATGAATGAGCGTTTCAAGATGTATGATGAGAGATCTGACTCGATCGTCATATCCGCTGCTGAACTTCGCCAGCAGGCCGAATCACTTGAGAACGTCAAGGTCCAGCTTCTTAGGTTTTCTGAGATCGGGGCCCTTGAGGCTGAGGTTCGGAAAATCAAAGACGAAG